ATGATAAAGTTGAATAAAAATCTAAGTCTGATTCTGAAGGTAAATTAAATATCTGACAGTGATCATTACACAGTGTGGCTCTAATTCCTCACCTCACCATCTGTGTCGCAGTTTCCCGTCTCCAAAATGAGCGTACGCATGGGTCAGAGCTGGCTGAGGCACCGCACATTTTCACGTCAAGTTTGGATTTTATAAATCACAACCTTAGCGTGAAAAGTGGCGTACRCAAGTTTCTGGGCTCAAATTGTGCGTACGCCAGTTTTATAAATCCGACCCCAGGTCATGTACAACCTGGTAGAGGTTTTCAACTAAATAATTAAAGTCATTATATAATGGTACATACTGCAAGATAGACCTTAATATGAATATGTTAAACTTAAGTATCTTGTTTTACTTAAAGGATACATATCACACTTTTAAATCCTTCTTTTTCACATTTAAATCATTCAGATGGGTTTTATATAAAGTGGAACTGCAAGCCCCACCCCTTCATTGGGGTGTGTCTCTGATCAACTTGTTTTAAGGCTGTCTCTTTAAAGGCAAATTAGGCACTCAATACCCCCAACCCCCATAAGCTTCCAGACCAGTTCATTCAAGATTGATACAAGAGTTTAAGACTATATAGCTGCGCAGAAACTTTTTTTATTTACAAATGAATTAAAAGATGTCAGCAAGGGAAGACTTGTCCATCTAGTCCTACATGTTGGAGCCAGAGTCTGATCCAGAGCCAGAGGAGAAYGAAGACAACAAAACTGTAGTTGGTAAATCCGGACCTTATTCTGAAGTTCCCTAAAAGAATACAAAGATATCTATGCAGCACCAGGGGATACTAAATTTTAATTTTCTGCACACTTAAAGATTCCACGTACACAASAAAATGTATTTATTGGCTAAAAAAGTGGATTTTGTATGAAATGTCCCTTTTAATAAATACCTTTATTTACCCACTTTAGCATCCATATATATAGTAAAACTAAGTTACAAAGTAAAGTGAGTGTGGTGTATTTCTTCCAAATATCATCTGAGACGAGGCTTGCTAACTTAGCATGAGAAAACTTTTGATTTTGAGCCTAAAACCAGAGGTCATCTTGAAGAAAACAGACATGAAAYAAGAGCTTGGTTTATCTTTCGGTCAGGCGTCACTTTCAAGCAGCATTTCATTTACTGAGGGGACGATCCAAGTCAAACAAACACCGCTCTAAGATCCCATCACCATCCAGGATCTGACTTGTTTGTTCATTTTTGACTTCATACAAAAGTATATATTGGTGTGAAAGGTTCTAAGTCAGGACTCATCTATGAAGGAATGAAACTGTGTCTCAGTGAGTTCAGTCACTGCTCCGTGTGTCTGCAGATACACAARAAGCACGTTTAAACCCAACAAAATCCTCAGATATTTACCAGAACACTGAGGAAACACATTCTTGACTGACACTGCCAAATGCACTTTGTACATTTCTGGTCTTAAATCTTTCAAAACAGACCAATGTGACTGAAAACAGCTACTTTTAAAAACAGAGAAAGTTAAACTTTAGAACCAGAAAGGCTTTTTTCCAAAAGCATCACCTACAGTACACATAGGCAATAACTGACTCAAAAATACTGGTTTAAAGTGCAAAAGTAATGAAGGAATACAAGATAAAAATGTCTCCATACAACTTTGTGAACTAGACCATCTTGAACAAWTTGAACTCATTTTGGCAGAATTAAACAAACTGTTCAATGTTTCGAGGTATAAATCAATGGTTTCGCTTCAAAGGCACCAACAGTTGATAAGAGTATCCAAGTTATTTAAGGAGTAACCAGGTGAAKTAAGCCAAACATTCTTCTTCGTGTTGCATTAAAAACTGCAGCATGAGCTTTTACACAGCCTAGTTTTGACAAGTTAGAAGCTGTTGTGTAATAGACATGCAGTAAATCCATGTTTAAAGTCTTTCTTTCCTCAACAGGACAGGTGGTACGGTGTATGTGAGAACCTCAGCTCTGTTGAGAACATACCAGAGGAAGAGCCAGGATGAGCGGATCCCTCAAACACACAGTTCATGCCTTTTATAGCTTCTGAATCATTCTGCATACCTGGGCAGCYTCTCCAGCAGAGTTTTGAGCTCATCGCAGATCAGCTTGACCAGACCGCTTTTGATGTTGTTATAGGACACGTCGATCATAAAGATAAAGGCAGGAGGGTTGGGAGGCTTGTTGTTCTGTGTGGGGAGAAAGAAAGGGGGAAAAAAGCTGTTGTTTTAGTGATTACCAATAAACAAAATAATTCAAAATAAAGTAGAGAAGTATTTGTGGAACTCAAACATTTTATCCTTCTTATACCAATTTTTTAAAATAAAAAAAGGTTCAAGTCCAGATTAAAATGCAGCATAATACAGAAAACAGTTTTTATGGCACATCTAAAGTGCTGCATCACTGACACAACAGCCAAACATATTTTAAACAAACTYTGACATAATCAGCTTATAGTGGGGAAAATACAAGATTGTTTTCCAACTAGTCCCTAAAGTTGATACTGTTGCACTATATATTAATTTTTCATTTATTTATTTTTTTACATACATTGAAAATGTGTACAGTGAACCCCAAATTTTTTGCGGAGGTTACAGTTTTAGAGTTTCTGCAGATMGTGAAAAATCATGAGTACTGGATGCGGTCCAAAAACAAAACTTTATAGCTCGTTTGGTGTGGCATCATAAGAGTAAGAACCAACCAACCCAAAAACACAAGCACCAAACAGCAACTACACACCACACAGTACTGTTAGAGGGCGGAAACGCTGTGCTCCAGGAGGAACGTGGGCACAGGGAATACATCACTTACTGTACCCTACAATGTTTATTTATTTTTAAATGGAACTGATTTTACATTTGTACTTATGTTACAAAATCCATAAATTATATTGCTCTTAATAAACTTAGCTTGAACATTCGCAAAAAAAAAAAAAGGCATGAGAAAATTCTTTGCAGGGCTTCGCATGACCAATCTGACTTCAGAAATTAATTCATCTGGATCACAATTTAGAAAACAAGCAGGAAATCAGTGCTAAATTAACATTTTTCTCCTCATTAATTAGGTCACTCTAATTGTTCTGTATTCCGTGTGTTGAGTAATACCTTGCAATAATCAAGAGTTGCAACAAACTCATAAGATCCMAGCGACAGCTCAGGCCTCTCGTAGAAATCCACCCTCCGACCCATGTGGTCAAGGTGTTGGAAGTAAAAGACGGGCACTTAAACAGGAAAAAAAGATTTTAATCGCATTCGCTGGGTTTTTAAATCAGACAATATGATATTTTCAGAATCATAGAATTTATTTATTTATTTATTTATTTATTTTTACCTTCATTGACGCAGTTGCAGAAACCGCACTGGAAACGACGGCCGCCGTCGATGAACTGCATGTAAGGACACATGTAGGCCTTACAGCGGTTGCAGCGGACCGGGCCCGTGTCTCCATGATTTACAATATACAGAGGAGTCTGAACAGAAAACAGGAGCCCGAAATAAGTCCTTGTAATAAATACTAGAGCCGCACAATATGTTGGAAATTTAATATAAACGTTACATAAAATGTAATAAATCACTGACTATTATGGTCCAAATCCAGCATCAACTTAAAGCCTAAACTAAGTGTGGTTATTCATCATGCTGGTACCACTTTGATCCCTTCAGGATAACTCATCTTTCTTCTTCAGCTGTTCCAGCTGATCTGAGATTAACTAATCAGTCTTAAAGTCAAATAGAAAAAAATAAATAAAATTAAATAAATAAATAAAAGCCCTGGATTTCCTAAAAAGGAGTTGGTGCCTGACACGGGGAAAGTATCTCCAGATTGTTGAACAACACGTGAACCAAAAAGGAGGTGACTCACAAGACAAATGAACTCTTGCTCAACAAAGGAGAACTAACCATGATCTATTAAATTTAATGAGCTAATTAAAATGTGGGGTAAATATTTGAGCAGCAGGAATACGTTATTCAAAAACTATAAGCAGCTAGTTTATTTTACATTATTTCTAACGTTTGTGTTAAACAGAAAACTGTGACCTACTTCATTTTTTGGCAAACTGGCAAAYGGTTTGATGATGGCAGCCAGAGGGACTTGGCACTGTTTGGCCAGATCGGCGGTGCAGGGCAGTGAGTAGGTGGTGCAGCGGATGAATCTTGGACTGGCGTTCCCTGGAGTTCAACAGAAACAAGTTGAACACGTTACGGCTGTCAGCACGCTCGCACTTCCAAAGCAATAAACAGAACTGTTTACGTAGAGGTTGAGATATTTTTTAAAAAGTGTTTCCAAGCAGTTTGTGCTCTCAGAAACTGTTTTATTTTGTTGACCTTGATCCTGAGCTGTGAAGTCGGTGGTGACGAGAGGCGGGACCTGCCCTCTGACGTTTGTGCTGAAGATTTGTCCCCCAAACTTTGCTTTGTCGTCCTCTATCACTTGGGTCTAAAATAAATGTATAAATGTTTGTTATTTAGAACCGCTGGGTTTTAAAAAAAAGCAATCAATTCGCAAGCAAACCAACTGAACTCTTCATTACAACAGAAATGTGGGATAAACTATGCRACATTAGTACAAGTATCCAGTTAAATTTGTACTCACAATGCCTGGGATAGAATCCAGGTCCAGTTTCTTCTGAGGAGGTCCAGCTAGTCCACCTGGTGCTCCAGGGAAGCCCCCTGGAATGCCTGGCTGTGGCCCAGAYATGGGTCCTCCAAACTGACCTGTACATTAAACACACAGGAATATTTATTTAAAATAAAAAAGGGAAAAACAAACAAACAAACATCGTTTACCAAAGTTTGTGACAACACAACACAAAGTTTTTGTTTTGAACTCTTGTCTTGTTTACAACTTTTATCTACATGTTAATTATGAACCAGCTGATTCTGTCACTAAGCGCTAATCCTGTGGTTAATAAAGTACTTGACATGTTAGCTAAACGGGTACTTAATTAAACTTAATTAACTTAAACTTCGGCTGTTTTGCCTACTTTATTTCAAATGATCACTTTTTAGTAGTTTTGTTTGTTTTGTTTTTTTCTGCTAATTTTGAATTCTTTACAACCATTTCACCATCTGGGTGCTACTTTCAACTTAAGTCTGCTACCTTTAGCTTATTTTTGTGCTAACTTTAGCTTTTTACTGCTATATTAGCTAAAATTTTACTTCTTTCTGCTATTCTTCTGCTTTCTCTGCTGTTAGACTTTTTTGTGCTATTAACGCTTCTTACAGTTGCTTTCTGTAATATTTAGCTATTTTCTGCAATTTTAGCTAAAGTTTATCTGTTATCAGCTAAAGTTAGTTCAAATTAATTGATTTTGTCCAATTTTTGATATGTTTTAATAATCAATATATGGGTACCTGAGACTTAGCTCTATCATAAATAGCAGCCAAAACAGAAATCCAAGATGGCTGCCAAAGCTAGTTTTAAAGGCCTTTTACTCAGCTATTGTTTGAGATTTTGACATGAAAATTTATATACTGGTAGCTGAGAGCAAGCTCTATCACATATTGAAGACTTAAGAAAATTCAACAATTGTAGCCAAAGCTATTTCAGCTGCTTTTTTCCCATTGGAAATAAATAGAGCTTTATTCAACATCCTTAAATTTCTTCATAATTTTTCTAAATCTTTCCAGAACCTCACACATTATATTCTGGTTTTGCTCCTTTTAAAGTCTTTGTGAAAAATTTTGCTATCTTTTTGCTAGTTTTAGCTTTTTTCCAGATATTTCAGCTAAAATTCTTCTTCCTTCCACTATTCTTCTGCTTCTTTTACTTTTTTGTGCTTCTTTCTGCTAATTAGAGTTATTTATGCTTCTTACTGTTGCTTTCTGCTATGTTCAGCTATTTTAGCCTTTAGCTTTTAGCTTTTTTATGCTATTTCAGCTATATTTTTGCTCCTTTTTACTGTTTTCTGCATTTTTTTAGCTTTTTTCAGCTTTTCAAGTGCAACTTACTCTTTTACTTTCCCTATTAAACATGTTCAGCTCAATTTCAGCTTCTTCAGCAGTTTTCAGCAACAGGCATTCACACTAGCATTTTCGCAGGAAATGCAATTTCTCTAGTTGCACTTCATTTGTCCTAAATATTTCAAAGCAATGTTCATTTAACTGATACCTTTTGGCCGACGCCCTCRTCTTACCTGCTTGCTGTGGATACCCTGGAGGACCTGTGAATCCAGAACCAGGCTGTGGGAAACCTCCAGGACCTGGAGGTGGTGACCCAGGAAAGGCCCCGCCCATGCCTGCCATTGGTGGGCCCGCCATCGACTGCCCTGCCATTGGAGGACCTCCCATTTGTGGGCTTCCCATCGACTGTCCCATCATCTGTGGTCCCCCCATCGACTGTCCCATCATCGGTGGTCCCCCCATCGACTGTCCCATCATCGGTGGGCCTCCCAGCGACATGCTTGCAGGAGGTGACTGCGGTGGAGATGCCACGTTAGGCGACTGGGAGCTCGGTGACATCAGCTGYTGACCCATGACTGGAGGTGGTGTCTGAAAAGACTGCTGGGCCACGGAGCTTGTTGGAGGTGGGGGGCTCTGCATGGGACCTGGAGCTGCACAATCAAGACATAAGAAGCTCCAAGCTGTAACAAAGGCTGCAGAGTTGTAAAGTAACTAAGTACAAATACTTTGTTACTGTACTTAAGTAGAATTTTCGGGTATCTGTATTTTACTTGAGTTTTACTTAGAGTAATTATTTTTCAGCCTACTTTTTACTTTTACTTCATACAATTTCACACAATTACCTGTACTT